GGCTGTCAACCAGTACCCCCAGGTCCTTTTCCACCAGGCAGCTTTCCAGCCACTCTTCCCCGAGCCTGTAGCGCTGCATGGGGCTGTTGTGACCAAAGTGCAGGACCCGGCACTTGGCCTTGTTGAACCTCATACAGTTGGTCTCAGCCCATCGATCCAGCCTGTCCAGGTGTCTCTGCAGAGCCCTCCTCCCCTCAAGCAGATCAACACTGCCACCCAGTTTGGTGTCGTCTGCAAATTTACTGAGGGCGCGCTCAATCCCCTCATCCAGGTCATTGATAAAGATATTAAACAAGACTGGCCCTAGAACTGAGCCCTGGGGGACACCGCTTGTGACCGGCCGCCAACTGAATTTAGCTCCATTCACCACCACAGTTATCAGAAATTAATCCAAAATACTAGTACGCTTTCTTCTAGAATTGTCAGGCTTTGTCAGCGTGGCTGTCACTTTTTAATCTTGTTGGCAGAGACAGCTTGCATGGTGATACATGAAGTATTTTTAGTTAGTAGTAGAGTAGCTGTATCTTTCTGCTCACAAATCTCTCAACATAGTTTGTAGAGCTGACATTTATTTCATAATGAAATGCAAGGATGCCATAAATTTTGAATAGGTTATGCACTATTTTTATTGTTGGTTTTTCAACAAGTTATCTAGACTTTCTTGCCTTCTAAAGAAGTTGAGTATTTCTAACTTAATTTTTAAATTATATCTCTTGTCTCAGTCTACTTGCTATTCACTATTCACGAGTAAATGCTAGAATTAGCCTTTGTCATTAGGTTCCGTTTCATTTGTTGTTACTAATAAACTTACTTTTTTATATTCGTATCACAGAGTGAAAGGAGTTACTTGCACAGCTCCTATTAACCAGCATGTGCAACCATGCAGAAAGTGATCTGTATAAAGTTAAGGACAATCTTGTGATCTCTTTAGCGTGTCTTGTACCTTTTTAGCTCTAGAGCTTCATTCCCTGCTCAGTGTTCTGCTTTCATGAGCTCTTAGAAATTGTAGTACGCTAAGTATAATATGGATGCTAGAGTACTGCAGTGTAAGGTATGTTACTACAAGTTGTGTGTCTTCCCAGTAATCTTTTATGTGACTAGCAAATGCCTTGCTGTGTGTGTACAAATAAATTCCATGTGGCAAAGCACACAAAATGAGATAAATGTGAAGCTAATTCATTACTTGTCCCTGGGCAGAGAAATGACAGACACAAGACCAAATTAAAAGGCTCTTTATAGAAGAGTTCTAGCAATAAGTAAAACCATTGTCCTGGTAGAATTATTGGGATGAGTGTGAGCATAACTTGCACTAGTTCTAAAATATTAAACTTCTTTCACTGAACTGAAATGGCTTTTCCTATGGACACTCTTATTTAACTGGTTAAAACTTAAAACCACTTACAGACGCCTAAACTTTATCTAACCTTTTACAATTTCTCTATGCTAAGCAATGTTAGTGATCCATCTGCGATGGCAAATACTAATCTTGAAGCACTGATGAAAAAGACAATTGGAAAGCAGAATGCAGAAAGAGGTTTTTATGTAGTTTGCGTTTGCTTCATACATTATTGACAGACTGTTTCTTACAGCGCAGTTCTGCAAGGTGCAGTGTGCCAGTGTATTAGCTCACTGTGACCAGAATAGGAAAAGCTTTCAGATCTTGTCTTTTGTTCACCTCATACTGCATCTGTTTCATATCAGAGCTGACTAACTTGCTAAAATAGCAGAAAATCACTTCTGAAAAAAAGTGTAAAACCGTTCTACTTCTTTGAGAGCTAAACTCTTGGTGAAGGATCTGGTGAGTGCTAGACCCTTGTGCAAAGGAGGGAGTGGGGAGCATACTGCTGAGAGTCAGGGAGAAAGTTGAGTGAGTGAGACCTCTGTGCCAGCTGTGAAATTGCAGCTTAGGTGAGTGTAAAAAGCTTTTAATGCTCTTACAGTCCCTCAGTCCTTTTTACTAGAACATTTTCATTGTTGTGAGTGCTGCTGTTCTGACATAATGGTATGAATGAAGCATTTTACATTTTAGTTGTATCTAATTTTTGATAGTCCACCTCGAAATGAAAGTTGCCACCTTAACCCTCCCACACCGCTATTTCTGTATTAACTAGTCTTAGCTATTAGAAATTAAAAGGGGGGAGGGGGGGAAGAGGAGGTGGGAGGCAAGAAGTCTTCCTACACAAGGATTCTGGCAATTTGCTAAAGTATCTTTTTACAAAATGATGTGCTATCTATTAAGTTTCAGATACAATCAGATTTAAATTTTCTGGGCTGCCTCCAGTGTAATAGACAATTTACTGCCGTTTCTTTTTCCTTTCAGCACTTCTTTTTGGTGGAGATATTAATCCTGCTCATCCCAAACATATTGGAAGTATTGATCCTAATTGTAATGTGGCAGAGGTGGTTAAAGGTAAGATGGCGTTAACATTTTTGTTGATTTTAAAAAAAACCCAACAACTTAGAAAATGAACAAATACGTTATTGAGATACAAAAGACTGAAGGTGATTTAAATTTATTTCATTAAAAAAAAATAAATTGAAGTTCTGCAATTGCTCACAATAAAGCCATGGGTTTATTGAGACTTTCTAATGTCTTCATTACTGAGGATGGAGAAACCTTTGGTATCTTAACAGAACTAAGAAAACAAATGGGTTTTTTAATAACTTTAATCTGTCATTTAAAATACCAAATCAAGTATCTAAGTGTTTTGTTAAACTTCAGATGTTTTCTTCCCTAAAATACTTAGAAGCAGGTTCTCATGTACTGCTTTTTTATCTGATGCTGGTACTAAAGAAAATTGAGTAAGTGAAATTTTCCGATTTGTTTAGCTAGGCCTTTCAGTAAAATGTCCTCGGGCATACAGATATTCTAGTGAAACTCCCCATTACTATGTGCATCTGATCATATCACAGCCTGTTCTTTCTTACACAGAACATACGTATGTATTGGTTGTACCTGAATGATCTGGCACAGTCTCATTAGAAAGCCTGTTTGCTTAATAAATCCTGTTTGCTTAATGTTATGAATGTTCATATGCTTTCAGAATGGTAGTAAGAAGGAATGAGGCAATGCTGTCTGCTTCAAGAACTTGTTTATTGAAGGTTCACGCTCTGGGTGTATCTATTTACAAATACAGATCTTGCTGTAGGAGTGAATTCCACACTCTGTCCTTCACTGCTGTTTGTGCGGCTGCAAGAGGGGAAGAATGTGTTCCTCCCCTTCACTTTCAGCCTTTGGTGAAGTAAGAGGGGAACCTTTCTTATGTCAGACTTTGACTTGTACGATAGCTTGTTTTGTAACGCAGATACTTCTGTTACGAAGACTTCTTAGCTTCTAGCTCTTTTTGGCTCTAAGGCGGCCTTTTTTTCAGTAGCCTTCTTTCGGTTAATCTTACTCCACTCCTCAGTACTGTATATGTTATCGTAGTGTTGTTTATTTAGATATTCCTTCTAGTAGCAATGTTTGAATCTATTTTGATCATCAAATTCATAGTTGCTGCCTTGGACAGAGGAGTGCATAGTGTCGGAAGGTGCTCAGTCCAGTTTTCAAGCAAGTAGCTAAGAGAGATCTTCCACATATGAAGAAATAATTGCTAACAAAACGAGGTCATCATAAACAGTATCCAGTGTTGTCTTTCAAAGAAATAGAATGTCCTTAAAGACAGAGCCTGTCTAGAGTCAAGGTGATTGAGCCCATTTCTTTGTAGAATTGATGGAGGAGTTGATTTACATTCTGTGTGCTCTGCTAGCTCCAAAATGTTCTGGTTCACGGGCGGCATTCTGAGCAATTTGTCAGAGTTAAGATGTTGATTTTGGCACTGTTATGTGGCAGCTACAAGCTCTGTATATCCTTCAAACATTGAAAAAATGATTCAAACAGTCACTTCTTACTTCAAGCAGCCCCACCAAGTGTTGTGTCTGTAACTGCCTGAGGTGGATCTCTGTATCTCACTGATGTTCTACAATAAGATTTCTGAGCTGACAGTAAATCCAGGCTTCTTCCCGGAGCCAGGATTTTAGATGTACTAATAGATCCTTTGCTCTTGTTGCTACTTACTTCCAGCTACAACATGAGTGCTTTGGACTTTGCAGTCTCTTTTACAGTCTTAAGACTCTGCCAAAGAGTTGGCTTTTAGAAGGTGGTAAAATGTAAAACTGCACTCAGATTGTTTGACACAGTTTTGCTTGGGGCTGGATGTCTTACTGGATCGTGAAGTGATAGTGCCTTCCTGTTCATCTCAAGGGTGTTAGGGTGGCTACTTCTTGAAAATGGATGTGTTCTACATTAAATTTAGGGAGGCTAAATGGATTTATTCAGAACCTCCCTGTATTCTCAAGGTTTGCAATAGTACCTGTGTCTGCTCCACATTCATGTATTGAGGGCTTGTGGTTTATTCCCACACAGTTATTGGTTTGCTTTTCAGAGGCCTGGAAGTTCTCCACAATAAGAATCCAGCTCATGCCACCTGGATCCATATCTAATTTTCATTTCTGTGATGTGGAAACTCTTTGAAATGTGCTAATGTTCCTTTCTCCATGTAGATGGCCTTATGGTTGTACTATGTTGCTATCTTCAGCTTTTGATGATTCGCTCAGGATTGTGGCTGTGTTTCTTACGCCCTTTTTTCTAAAGCACAAGATTACTCCCAAGGCCATCAAGTGTTCTGAGATGATCTTAAGAGTATTGTGTAAATTTAGGTATTCCTACATCTTTTTTTTTTCTAAATTACGCACATCCCAGGCTGAGGTTCTCTATACAGCTTGGATATTAAATGGGAATTTTTTTTTTTTACTTGGGACATTTTATTGTGCTATTGACAGCACCCTTTTAGGAAGTCTTTGGACCTGACCTTGACACAAGAGAGTCCTACTGGACAGTTGATTTTGTGACACATTCCCAGGACTTGATCAAGAACATTTCCAGTGTTGATTAGCTCTATTTTACTAGACCTCAAGCAGCATTTTTGCCAGCCTTGTGTGATATGTCCAGCCTTGCAGATATCAGAACAACTGACATAATTTTTTTCAATTAACAGGGCACATTATAGTTTATTTCTGTAGACATCTTGAAGGAGAACGATTATAGGTAACCAGCCCTTTCTGGGGCCTAGTGATTTCACTTTCTTCGTCACATAGCTCTGAGTCTTGGCAGTGACTGCTTTGTAGTGTCACTTTGGACAGGAGGAAGAAGATACATGTAGGGCAAGATGAAATGCAATTGTTGCAGTATCTCAGCAAATTTGTCTCTGTCTGCAGAACTGCCCATCTGTTTATGTGCTTGCTCTTAGCCCACACATTATGAGGAAGCCACTTTCGTTAAGGTATCTTAAGCAATGTCGTTAGAACATCTCTGAGTTTGTGGTTTCTCTTTAAGCTAACACTTGCCGCTTCTTTCTAAAGCATTTTGCAAATGAGGTACCAGTGAATATTTAGAACCACTAAGAAATCTTCCAAACAAAAGGTGGCTTAAACTTTCTTGCTGTATTTTGACAATACATAAAGCCTGATTTGGATTATGGGGAGGCTTTTTTTATTTTGGTTCAGTAGGAAAGAATGAAGAATCTTAAAGATTCCAGCTTTTGCCCCAAAAGACCTTGAAAATCAAGTATTCTAAACAATATCGTGTTTGGAAGAACTGAATTTATGGTTGCAATGTCATCCTTTTTTATTTGAGATGGAAAGAACAAGCATTACATTGTGATCGGGACATGGCAAATAAGTAGATATTATGGTCAGCCTAAGATTATACCCTTCTGGTTTTCAGGCTCTGAACAAAGACATAAAATAGCTTGTCTCTAGTAATCTGCTTTTGTTTGTAGAGCTTTAAATAGAATTTGCCCTTTCTTGACAAATGGGCTATAAGCATTACAGAGAAAAAGGGATTAGAATGGATACCAGTTTCACGCTTGTAAACTAGTTACTAAAATAAGTGTTCTGTTTTTAGTCTTCCGCATACAGGATGAACTTTGCTAGTCGTCTCTAGATGATTTTGGTAACTTAGTGTTCTGTTCTGTTGTTTTGTAGATGCTTATGAAACAGCTAAGATGTTATGTGAACAGTACTATCTGGTGGCACCTGATCTGGAGGTTGAAGAATTCAATGGTAATTATGCAATTAATTTAATTTAAGTGACGTATGTAAGAAAAAACATTTCAAATATCTGTGACTTCTAGTTTTGTTAATTAATTATAAGTTATGATTTGAACTCTGCAGTCCTATATGCAAAGTTACTTTTCTTCCTCTAATGTGTCTACATGGGCACCTGAATTATAGTTTATTAGCATGATGTGTTTGTTTACTTTTTGATGCTGGATGCAGAGAGCTAGCTGCTGAATTTGCTGTCACTTTAAGGAGAATAAAGTGGTCAAGAATCCTCATAACTGGGAAGGAAACAGGCCAGCCTTCTAACTAATCTTTTGATAGAGCTGAAACTTATTTCATTTTGAAGTATGCTTGTAAATTCTAGTATCAGTCCTTTGCACCAGTGGTGAGCTCTTCTTTGTAAGATGGCAAAATTAGAAACTTTTTTTACATAATCTATGCTTTAAGTCCTATCATAAACTTCTCACATGAAAATCTGTTTGAAGTTGATAGCAAAGATGAAAATTGGATGCTACAAAACTGATGAGACAGTCCTTGTCAGTGTATTGACTGATTTTTGTTCATCATTTCTATTGACAAAAAGTAGATTATCTTTTAAGTTAAAAAAAGTCTTGAGTTATTCTCTCTTGAATTTTGGACAGCTGCCCAGACTGAGATGTTTCTAAACTTCAGTGGAAAGATTGCACAATCTCAGCAATAAGTCACACTCAAAATGGAGAGAGTGATATATAGGAACATAGGTTGCCTAAAGTACTATTTAATATTGTAGAAATACTCCTCAACACAGTGATATTGTCAACACTGATGCATGACTGCCACCCCCCTCTCCCAAAATCGAAGGACCCAACCTCCCCCCTCTAAAACTCAGTGATTTTAGAGATAAAAGTATTGAGTGCTGCAGCAGGGGTATCAATGCGAAATTAATTTGGAGGCCTAAGTAAAAAGATCCAATAGTAGAGAAACCAAGTTGCTGTAACTCATAAAAAATAAATGAGGAAAGAATTACTTGTTTCCTTTAAACTAGCTTATTGTCAGCATAGGAAAGTGACTTTGCAAATTACCTCACAAGAGCAACAATAACCTGTTTCCTACATGTACTCTCTGCCTCAAATCAGTATGAATCAGTTTGCCTTGGTTTTGGTGATGCATAAGAGAATAGGAGTATGGACTCAGACAAAATGAACGCAGTAAACCAGCAAGTTGCCTTGCAACTAATTATGCAGAACAATATTTTGGTCTTCTCATTTTCCTAAGAGTTTCCACTACTGTGTGTCTTAAAGTAATAACTGGTATTATCAGCCCATAGTGCCCAACAGGATGGAGTTGACTCCAGTTACGTTCTGTTTGCATATTTGTATCTTCCTGCAATTTATGGAGCAGGCATTTAGAGACTTTTCTTCAATCTGAACTGCTGCTGAGTCTGACAAGCTGTGACTGTGTAGTTTAATGCCAGTAGATATTTGAATGTTCAGGGATGACTGCATCTTCAGCACCAAAACTGTCCTGGAATGTATTAAATGCAGCTGTATTATTTCCTGCTAAATTGATTAGCACTCTAGTGTTCAGAGCTGAGCCAAGCCATATACCTCTGCTGAAACACTAACAACAGGGCAATGGTGGACAACTAAGTTATGAATTGGAATAAGAAAACTATGATATTGTTTGAACTATATTTTGAATTTTTTTATGAATACTTTACATTTTATATGTTTTAATTAAGGGAAAATATGTAGTTGGTTTTAGAATATTTAAACAGTGAATTTCTTTAGTTTTCAGAATCTTTTGTACAGCAAATATTATGCTTGAATACTATGTGTGTTAAGAAAGTTTCCCACATAAGTGGGAAAGTTCTCTTACTTAATGTACATTGTCAGTACGAAACCGGCCACTGCTTGGTTGAAGTTTCCTGTCTAAACAAAGTCTGCTGGCACGGATGTCTTTGAAAATCATTATTAGAATGTGTTATTTCAAGTGATAGCAGTAACTGAAATTTATGTTTTTACTTCATGGAGCTAATCTTGCACCTAGAAAATTAGAACATGCTTACATACTTGTCTTTGCCAACAGTTTCATGTTATTCCTGTAAATAGAAATGCTACAATGTACTGTTTTGGGAAAAAAAAAAAATTGTCTTTTTTAATTTTTTTTAGCTAAAGCTCCAAACAAGCCTATTCAAGTAGTCTATGTACCTTCTCATTTGTTTCATATGCTATTTGAATTATTCAAGGTAGGTTGCACTTTAATATTTGGAAGGGTTTTGTGAACTTTAATTACTGTTGAAATTGAGATTCTTTTCAGTTACAGCTCTTAAATGTTTTTTCAGTTTCCTTTCTTGAGCTTATCCTTAAACAAGCAAAGAGGGTTTGAAACTGTTAAAAGCTAGACTTCCAGCCCTCTCTTATGCCCTTGTGTACTTTAAAAAATTTGTGTGTTTTCCCACTTCTCCTTTTGTGCTTTTGCAGCTGATTGAGTTAAAGCACTCATGATAATCTATTTTTGCAATGGTGATATATATTCATTACCTTGCAATTTTCATAAGCTTGCCTCTTTATTGCATATTTGAGGACTGGTTAGGATCAGTGTCTTTGTTTATTGTGAAAACAGCCCATCTGTCCTTTAATAGTGTAAATGACATGCTTTGTTTTGGTTTTATTTGTGTTTTCTGAATAATGAAACAACAGTGAAAGGAAAACATGTGAGAGATACTATATGCTTTCGAATAAGATAGGTGGTCTCTAGGTGGTGCAATTGAACACTAGAAATTCAGGGGAAAAATGCATTTGGTCAGAGAGAAACTTTTCCTTTGGGTTTGATTTCTGACATTTGTCAAGTATGTTCATTTAAATCTTCCCCTATTTTGCCATTTGTAACATAAGTTCTAGGGCAGAACAAGTGAGAATTTGTATGCTACTTGTAGGTATATTTTGGTACAAGTCATGAAACAGTATGAAACCAGTAAGTTGTAGCTGTAAGTAATGGTAATCTGTGACAGACCGGCAGTGGAAACGCTATTAATAGATAGGATAAATTCGGATTGATAGATGGTAACTTAACAATTTGTGATGCAGGCTGGGAAAATCGAAGCTTGTTCTTGGTGGTGAACATCACTATTGGTGTTCTGCAAGGTGGAGACAAAGGATGTTGTCATCCCTTATATATAATTATTTGATTTCACCCAGGAAAAAAAAAATTTTTGCTTTATGTTCTCTGACTCTATATCAAATAGATAAAAGTATGTATAGTGGAGTTCTGATGTAAACGTTTAACTGGACAATTCATTGATTTAAAAGGACTTCTTGAATTTGTTTTAATTACGGCCTTTTCTGTCTTGTATACAAATGTAGGACAAAGTATCTGGATTCAACAAAATAAATGCAAGTTGTAAGTTGTCACAAAAAAGCATATGTGGTAAAGTTAGAATCAAAGCCACTTTTTTCTTTTATCTTCAGAATTCAATGAGAGCTACAGTCGAATTGCATGAAGGTAAGAGAGAAGCCTATCCATCGATCAAAACCTTAGTCACTTTGGGGAAAGAAGATCTGTCTATTAAGGTAAATGCCTAAAAATAATATGCAGCTTACAAACCTGATAGGTTTATAATAGTACGATTTGTAATTTGAAAAGGCAAATTAATTACTATATCACTTCTGACACTTGCTTCATATTCATTTAAAATGGAATATTGTCGGCTGGAAGGGACCTACAAAGATCATCTGGTCCAACTGCCTGACCGCTTCAGGGCTGACCAAAGCTTAAATCATGTTATTAAGGGCATTTGTCCAAAAGCCTCTTAAACGCTGACAGGCATGGGGCACCGACCGCCTCTCTGGGAAGCCTGTTCCAGTGTTTGACCACCCTCTTGGTAAAGAAATGCTTCCCAATGTCTGGTCTAAACCTTCCCGACTGAGGCAGCTTTGAACCATTTCCCATGCATCCCCTGTCACTGGATCCCAGCGAGAAGAGCTCAGCCCCTCCCACTCCATGCCCCTTCCTCAGGAAGCTGTAGAGAGGAATGTGGTTGCCCTTCAGCCTCCTTTTATCCAAAGCAGACAAACCCAAAGTCCTTAGCTGCTCCTTTAATATTTCTAAAGTCATTGAGTTTGGCAGTTTTTTTCCAGAACATGATGTTTAAAACTCTTAACTTTTCATTCCTTAGATAAGTGATCAAGGTGGAGGTGTACCTTTAAGAAAAATAGACAGATTGTTTAACTACATGTACTCAACAGCACCCAGGCCTAGTTTGGAGCCTTCGAGAGCTGTGCCTTTGGTAAGCAATTGCAGTACGTATTTGGATGTCCCTTTGCACTACTCCAGTTGTATGCTTCCCTTCACTACAATCTACTGAATCAGGTTTTCTGTCAAAGAAATTGTTTATCATTAGCAATTCCATGCAGGTAAAATGTATCAGGAGAAAATGGGTTCTGTTGCCATCACTTAGTCTTTGAAATAGAAAACCGCTTTTCTTTGTCTCGACATTATATCCTCAGAAACAAGCATGTCTGCATAAGCACAATATTTTCATGGGTTAATGGACAGGACTTTTAGTGCTGTATTACTGAGAAAGTGGATAACCTAAGGAGCTCCTCTTTGGTGTGTAAATTACTGTTTGTCTAAGTTTCCTATAATAAATGCATTGAAAAGGTGAGCCACACTGTCAGAATTATAGCACTTGAGAAACACCTACTGGTAATGCACAAGCTTATATGGAACTTTGAAAATTAATTTTCAGTAAGTTATGGACTGTAAAAACACATTTAAAAAATGAATTCCCAAACCTGCATGTGGTATGAACACTTTTGGTATATACCTGTTCAGTTGGAAATCTCACATGATATTCCCTTCTGAGCTGTATCAGAGTCAGATTTCAAACAAACAAAATTTCTTCATAGTTTCTTCTAAGCAGGGAATTATTTCAGTGTTGAATGTGTAGATTCTTTTAGCAAGCATATTTTAAAAATTATTATTAAAATTACATCATTACTTCTAAATAATTTTATTAAATTACCTATTGGCTTATTTTGATAAAAATAATACAGCTACTGTTCCACTTGACTGGCTTTCAATAAGTGGATTAATAATGATACTCTATTCTTGCCTCTTCTCATCTTTGTTCTCTGTTGCTTCTGATACAATCCTTTATCTTCAAGCATGTCGAGAAAAAGTAGATTATTTGAGAAATTTCCTTTCCCTATTTTAGGAATGCTCTAATCTAGCATATTCTTAAGTGATTTTTTTTTTTCCCTCTGCTGTTACTTCTGTGCTTGAAGTGCCTTCAGACAGCTAATCAAATGTGGCACAGAGAGTATGCGACTATTTCTGATACAAAATAATTAACTGAACTGAGGGTGAAACCAGTTCAGAGTGGTTCAGAGATAACAAATTTCCTGTTACATTTTTAGCAGAAAGTCTTTATGGTACTGTCTTAGTTCATAACCATTGTGGCACGTAAGTTTATTGCGTTGTTTTCACCGGTGTTTGAGGCCACCAAAGTAGGTGTGAAACCCAGTGCTGTATCTGCATTGACTTGATACTAATCCTTCACAGCTCCTACCTCTACAACACGTCTTAGTAATGTTTCACACTTTTGCTTTTTCATAGAAAATCATCTTGAATGGGCTGAGTGATAGGGAACGGGCCTTAATTAAAATATAAACTCTTTTCTTTATGTCAAGAATGGTAGAATCTTTCTTGATTCATAATCTGTCTTTGTTCTGTCTCACTTTTGATCAGCAATTTACTGTATCAGCCTACAAGGATTTCCTGAAACTTGTTCTCACTATAAACTTACACCTTGATTACCAGTTGTATTCACTATTAAAATGTCTCTTCCTTTGTGGCTCTCTGATTGTAAAATGTGTTCATCTTAGGATTGACGCTGTTATTTCTCCCCCCGCCCCCCCATGCATCTTTAGCAATGCATTCCTGTGTTTATTTCCATATCTTCAGGACCGCTTACTTTGATTCTGTGACATCTATACTTACTGTTCTTCTGCTGTACCCCATTTTCAGGCCTTGTTTTCCTCTTCAGTCTGTATGTCACTGTAGTCAAACCTACGGAGTATCCCCCTCTTTTGTGAACCTGGCAGCTTTTGCCCTGTGAGCCTGACTGATGCCTGTACATGACCGAGTGTTGAGAAGAGTTATTAAGCTGTTATTTATATGTGTGTGCAGAAGGAAAAAAGCCAAGAACTGGGAGTCTGTAGCGTATCTTTCCACTAAGAGGAAATAGGACTTAGCAGTGAAGCTTCGTACATTATGTATTATGGCCCAGGTCCAGTTATAAAAACAATTATGCTATACTTTGTATGTTCATCGACTTGGGGAGTGGAAGAGAGGGATCTTTTTGTTGATAGGTGAAAATTCTTTCTCACTATCATTGCAAATGTGGTTTACAAACTGCTGAGAAACCTTGTTACCATGGCAGCGTTTGGATTCTAGCAGGTCTTGTGTTCATCTGTACTGCTGTGCACATAGTGGAAATGTTAGAAACACATGGTAATGCTTAATGATGATTAGGTTTTCTTGGAGAATTTAATGATCCTCTCTCTGGTAGCATTTGTTTATAGTGGGAGAAACGTGGCTTAAATTAGGTTTAATTAAACCTGTAGACACTAGTAACATAGAAATGTAATAATTTCCTATTTGTGTAATGCATACTGTAATATTTAATGAAGAATTGACTCTGATCAGCTTTCCCTTTTCCAGGCAGATGTGCCGTTGTTGACTAGATTCTGTCCTCTGGGTCAAGCAAAGACCTGTGTAGTAATCACTTATTGTTAATTGTCTTTTGCAAAATAGACCTTTTGCAAGGTCTATTGCCTTAACAAGGTGCTCATCTGGGATCTGTTGTCTTCGTATTTCTTGTAAGTTACCTGTTTTGGAAAATATGCTGAAGACAATGTAGAGAGGAGACTGACAGGAAATTTTTGGAAGAGGGCAGTGTGAAATAATTATGTGGGCTAGCACAACGTGTAAAAAGACTTTCCTGGGAGAAGCAGGAGGCAAACAGAAGTTGGGCATGGGTTTTAAAGAGGTGTAATTCTGGAGAGAGGAAAGTATAACGTGTTTTCAGGATTGCTTTATACTGCCCTTTACTTGAGCTGTTCCTGGGGGTATGTACTATCTACATTTTGCTTTTCAGTTGCTGTGCTTTTTAATTTCTATAATGTATTTATTGTCTGGTCTCCAGAAAAGATGCCAGTCAGCTTTTGAAATTTTTTTTAGTTCTTCCCAAGGCACTCAAATAATTTCCATTATTTTTAGAGATTAAGAAAATGCATCTAGTTTCAAGACCAGATGTTTGAAAGTGATGCGTGTGTGGAGTTGCAGTGGGAGTTTCTGAGAATTACTTTTTTAAAGCATACTGTTGTTTGAAATAGTGCAGCTAAGGAACTGTTTTAACTGTGGAAATGGACACTAATAACTATGACAAGCGGTGTGAGTAGAAAAGGGCATCTTTGGCATTTCTGTTTCTCATTTTGCTCAGAACAACTGAGTGAGCAACTCTAACCAATTCAAGATCACTAAGTTTAGATTTATGTAAAAACAAGGCAAATGGGTCAAAAGATGCTGTAGAGATAGTAGATGACGGCAAGAGAATTTGTGATGGATACTGTAGTACAAAGTTCTTTAACGTTCACCCCTCCCTCAAGGGATTTCCCATAAAGTGATACCACATACTAGCTGTGTATAATGCTTGCAAGTCCTTCTTCTTAGCCTTCTCTTTTTTTTATCATTTTTGGGCTTTGTTTTTTAAGGTTCAGGGCATGATTCTCAGTTATTTGTCAGGTTGCCTTTGTATAGATACGTTGTACTGGAACGAGTTCATTGGTTTTCTGAAAAATCTAGGTGTCTAACTCTTCTTGTAATCCACCCTTATGGAAAAGTTGTATTACTCCATTGCTTTGTATATCCTTCATTTCAAATGTTTGTGTGTCTGGAATCCTTCCTTTATTACTCTGCATAGTCCTGAAAATTCAGTGGGGGTTCAGGTGAATAATCAACCACTGTGGTTCTCAGCACATGCCCAGTCATCTGAAAGAGTTGATGTCTAGACCAAAATCTTACTCCCTGGCTGCAGTGAGAGCGCCTTGGTTTTTTTACAACTTTCTCTTACAGGAGTGGATTGGAAAAGGTACAAAGTGCTGATCTTGTTTGCAGCTCTAGTTGTGAATACTAGTGCCGTAAACTTAAAATCTACAGTTTGTACCTGTCAAGTCTATTTTGCTTTGAAAATTGTGTGGCCTGTACAGGGTCTCAGTCCTCAGTAGATCATTCAGTACTGTGGAATCCTGACCTTGTGTTAGATTCAGTAAACAACAGTGAGGATTATTTGCCTTGTATTGCTTTGTATGTAGTCTCCCGCAGTAGTCTTCTGATCTCTACTGCAGTACGGCATCAGCAATCACTTAATAGCGTGACCTAGATGAAGTACACAGAGTTGTCTCTGGCTTTCTTGTGCAGTCTCCTAAGTGTGGAGTGGCTTGGGGGAGGAAAAAAAACATGCTGTCAAAAATCTGATTTTTTACCAAAGAAAGAATAGAATATTATAGCAGTGGTAATCATAGTGAGGAAGCAGTGGAGAGTATCGGTTTGCTTTGATGACTGGAGGCAGCACGTACTGTATGTTACGTCTACCTGTCTCTTTGGGAAGATGCAAAATGGACAAGGTAATCCTAACAAAGGACTCTGATATTTTTCCCTTTTCTGTACTTAAAGTAAAAAATTATGCCTAGGGAAAAAAGGAGATTGCTCAAAAGGCTGAATACCAACTTACAGTGTAGGCTGAGTAATAAAGGAAACCTTGAAAACTAATTTGATGCAAATCTAGTATTTAGGTATCTTCTGTTTTATAAATGGTTGCAGTGATCTATTGCATTTTTTTAACTTTCCATCATGTTTTTCCTGTTGTTTTCTTGGTTTTTTTGTAGGCTGGGTTTGGCTATGGCTTGCCAATTTCTCGTCTGTATGCCAGGTACTTTCAAGGTGACCTTAAACTCTACTCAATGGAAGGCGTTGGTTCAGATGCTGTAATTTATTTGAAGGTATGAATTTGACCCTTCTATTAGCTAGTATTGCAGTGCAATTTGTTTATAGCAGGCTGAATAAGTGAACTTTCTCTCTTTTCACTCTTCAACATGTTATCAAATTTATAATTGCAATTTATAATTTATCTAAATACACAGAATCCTAAAAACCAAAGTTATAAATATTAACCTGGCTCTAATACCAGTTAGTTTGCTTCTGATTATTTTTCAGTCCCGTGTTAGATCTTTGCATTTTGTCAATCCATCATAAGCGCTGAATTTTCAAAGTGTGCAATGAGCGATAACTTTGGTTGACACTTTTTGATTCTAAAAGTTTTGACCACAATAAAACTGAGAAGACTGTTGACTAACTCCCGACTAGTACATATTTTTTTTTTTTTTTTTTCTGTACAGTTCTTGACCTTTCTGCAATGGACTATATTGATCCTATTGTCATTTTTTTGGAGGTCCCAGGCTACCCAGGGGCTTAAGGTTGAAATTAACTGTTTGAATTTCATCAGGGAATTTAGAAGAATATGGCCTGTAGCTCATGTGCAGGTCATTGGCAGCGTTGTCACTGTGCCTTGCTGTATGTAGCAAGTGAGTTGTGGAATCCTGTGCTAACTTCAGTTTCTGATGGGTTTAGTCCTGTGTGTGTGTGGAGGAAAAAGGTACGGTCTATCACAGAGGAAAAAGACAGAGCAATGGACTGAACTAGACCAGTCCTCACAGATCCGTGTGCTGACAGAGTCTGGGTTTGTTGGAGAAGTGAAATGTTTTAAGTACGGTAGCTGTCTGCCCCGTGTCAGTGACAAATCTCCCTAAAATGTTTCAGTCAAAACTTTTTTTTCTTGCTATCTTTGTAGGCACCACTCCCTGGGAAGAAGAGAAATATTTTAAAGTGTTATTTGCTTTTAACTTTTACTATGACTAGTACTTTGACTATGACTAGAGCGATTAGTCACAGCTAAAGGATTTTCAGAGTAGTGTTGTGACATGTAACACTTGGATAATCGAGGCACTTGTTCGATACAGTAGTTGCAACTGTAGAACTCCCCAGAGTATCCTCTTGCTCTTGGCATCTCTAACGGTATCTCACCATTCCTTTTGTTTTTCCATAGGCCCTTTCAAGTGAATCATTTGAAAGACTTCCTGTTTTTAATAAGTCAGCATGGCGACACTACAAGACCACACCTGAAGCAGATGACTGGAGCAATCCTAGCAGTGAACCAAGGGATGCTTCTAAATATAAAGCTAATCGATAATTTGCCACCTTTTGTCTCTGTTGGAGATGACCTCTGCATTCAGTATAAAGTCTCTGCTTTGTTCCAAAATCCTTCAAACCACAATAGCTAATTACTTCCAAACAAAGACCTAATCAGGGCATTGAAAAATACCAAGAACAAAGTGATGATTGGGACTTAAAGGAAGGCACTAAGCACGTTTGGTATGTGAATCCTGTCTACTTCACCAGAATATGCTTGGTTGCTTCAGTCATGCATTGACAAAAGGGATTGCACTGTGATTGCACTTAAGAGTACAATGTTGTAACAAAAAGATACTATTTGAACTGGGCAATTTTTATTCCAATATGAGGATTGGCAAGATGTGCAGAATCCCTTTAAATGGTGAATCGTGTCTTGCACAGCAATATGGTATAAGAGAAAAATTCTGATGTAGTTGAACATACACTTTGAAAATCCACTCTTTGCGTTTTATATTGCACAGTGTCACCTGTTACAGAAAATCCCTTTGAGCTCTTCAGATCTTATATCTAACGAGCTTATAAATGCATAGTTATAAAAAGGGTTGTGCAGCTTTAAACTGATGCTTTCCCCAAATTCCCAAACCCATTTGTCAAGTGCATACAAAAATCATGTTGTTATAAGACATTGGGACTTCCACTTCTTGGTATGCACCTTAATGATTTTCTTGACACACACACACAGAAATGCATTTCTGTACAATTTTCCTTGTTTTGAGGAAAGATCGTAAGCAGTTAGATCAACGCTCTGTACAAGAAATTCTGTCAGTACAGGGGCAGGGGGTAATTCAATTTCATGTTTATTGCCTATCATTTCCGGGGGGTTGGGGAGGGGAGAGAAGTGCTGAAAGGCCAGACAGCCAGTCATACAAACGAATTTGCCTTAAGAGTGTTGGTTGCTTGGAACCTGATTAGTTTAAAACCTGTAAATAGTTTGCAAAGTTATTTATATATTCAATGTCTGACTATAGTCTGGTAATCTGAATTTGTAGTGTATATAAAGATGTTGTACACCAGCTTTTGGGAAGTGTCATTGGTCTCAATACATGAAACTGGAAATACTGTAGAAATGGGAGGGACAAAACGTAGCCAATACCTGATTTAAGGAAAAAAAAAAAACATTAAAGAGAGAAGACCTAAGTATTTTCCCCTTAAATGTATTGTAAGAGTTACTGCTGACTATTAGGAAGCTGTTTTTCACCAAGTCTTTGCCAAATACTGTTTCTGATACTATGGCCTTTCAGAAAAATTTGTGAAATTTAGAAGTTCTGGTGATATCCTAGCCGTGGGAATAAAGTAGATGAGTTGTAGGCAACTCTGATGCACCCTCGGTTTCTCTTAGGTGTTTTGATATTTTTTTGAAAGATATTGCAGATTTTAGCAGGGAAAAATGAAACTTGTTTACTAAAATTGTGGGGCGAGTGTCCCTTTTGTCCTCCCAATATTTATTTTTATAAAGAACCGATCTATTGGGTAAACAGGGAAATGCTGAGAAATTCCTAGGTATTTTTAAAATAAAAATCTTCGTCTGATTTAACGATAGTACTTTGCACTTACATAGCACATTTCATCGAAGGATTACGAAGTGCTCTGAGCAATAAACTTCATTCAGCCCCATTTCTGAAGAGTCGGAGTCCTTGCCTTGCAAACGCTCGCTCTTACCTGTTGCAGTCAGCTCGAGAATTTGTGCGTGAGTAGTTCGTGAGGTTCCGCGGGCTTCGCTACGCCGCGCAGTTCAGCCGCGTTGGAGCGCCAGGTTGTTGTTCACGCGCTCTCACAGGCGGCTCTGCGGGGCGCTGCCGTGCTCTTCAGGGGCGGAGATCCCCGGGAGGCTGCTGAAGGCTGCCTGACTTGTCAGCTGGCAAGCAGGCACTACCCTGGCTAGGGGATCTTTACGTGGTGTGGTGAGGGTGTAACGCCTGTGGCCTCCAGAGCAATAATTTCCCACGACGGCAGGCGCTGCTGCGCAGAAGGCAAATTGCTATCCATTTGCGAGTGCTGTATATCAGCATCAGTTGCTATCAGCGACACAGCGATGCTGCTGAGGTGAAATCAGAGTAGTGGCTTGACTGAAACACCAGTGGGAAGTCACATCTCCTAAAATTTAGTCACTTAACTTCTGCCCTCACCTGTAAGTTCTTACTGTTTTTTAAATTCATTTCAAGATGTGTATGTTTTCTAGTAATCGCAGAGGAGGGCTTGCTTAGAAATAGAAACTTGTGATGAGACTAATATTTTCCCAGTTGCACGTGGTCAGTTTCTTCCTAGAACCTTACCTAAAGCATTCCAAGGACTAAGATAGTTTGTGTAAGAAGCTGAGTTGCCGCTTTTGTTAGAAATCGTATTTCAAAGTAGTAAATCCTAACCTGGTGCTTCTTTTTGGCTGTCTCCTGATACATGAAGAGGAGAGGGGATGGAAAGAAAAGAAAGGATGCAGGCGTATGGAACTCGTTTTCATGAAGTGAATTTAAACCTTGGAAACCAGTGAATGAAAGCTGAAGACACCAAGGAGGATGTGATGATGTTAGTCATTTCACTTCTTTATTCACAAAAACAACGGGCTGGCTTTCAGGACCAAAGTGCTCTAGCACTTGAGAACTGAAGTCCTCTGAAACGGCTCCTATTTCCAGGAACCCTGAGCATGTAGGAACAGCTCAAAGCAAGGAAGGTAGAGCACAAGGAATGCATTTTCTTTACATTTCCCAAGATCTTTTGTGGGCATTATGGTAAATACGAGCAAGAAGCGACTTTTCCCCTCTCCAACCTTGTCTAGGCAGCCTGTGCTTTAGTGGAGACCCCAGGTATGCCATAAATTGCTCTTCACTCGTTGCCCTCATGCCATGTTTCCACATGGGGGCATTAGTCTGAAAACCGTCCTGGGAAACAGCAGCAGCAGGCCTTCAACTAGAAGAGAGTTTTCCAGTGCGTATGCCTGAGAAATGAGGGTGGACAGGTTTTTAATACGGCTAGTTTACCTACAGATACTGATCTTTTTTCAGTTACTTCTACCTTTGGAGTCTGTTATAACTATTTGTTTTCATGTCTTGGAGCTGTTAATTCCAAACTTCCTGACGATGTAAAAGTGTATTTCTTCTTTAATGGATTTCACATGTGTGGCTTGCTGATGTTACTGCAACCTGCTTGTCTTGAGTTACAGGACACATAAATAGAAAAAAAACGTTTTCAGTGAAAATGCTTCCTATGCGTTGTGTTTAGAGGTTAACAGAAACAAACTCAGCAAGAGCTTCTTGCTTCTCCGTTCTTCCTGAGAATTTACAAACAACTTCTGTGTCTTGTAGTGCAACAAACTGTTTAACTTTTTTGTCCGGTGTGCTTTTTTCTGGTGGGTGTGTGTCTTGAACGTAATCTATTAATCCCCTGTCTAGTGTAATATCAGTACATGCTGAAGGCTTTCCAAACCAGACACATATTTGTGCTCCCTGCTTTTCTAGGCTTTGTTTTGAGGCTAACAAGGGGCCTTTCAGAGTCAGCACTTGAGAAATACTCGGAAGATACCAAAATGCTGCTTCTACAGCTTAAAGGCACAGCTTAAAGGCACAGTCTTTGCCTCCATTCTTGACCGTGGTGGCCTGGGATAGTAGTGAGAAAGCCCTTGTCCTGCTGCAGTTGGTGCTACCTCGTGGGCGGTGTTTCGAGCAGGTGCCTTGGCACACGCTTAAAGATTATGGATATTAATTGTAGCGCTCTTGGAAAACTCCAGCTACGCTTTGGCGATGCAAACTACGCTTGCAGCTCCGCGTGGGTAACATACTTTTCTTTGTCCTCAGTGGTGGGTAGGATTTGCTTTGAAGCAGCTGTTTGCTTCCTCCAAAAAGTGAGCAAGAATGACCTTTCTGTGTAGTGCAGTCTCCTGTTCACCTCCCCCCAAACTTCGTGCTGAAGGTGAAATCTTGACCTCGTTGACATGGGAGATGTTCCCCTCCCCCCCCCAATAAGCACTTCTGGATCCTTGTGTGTTAGGTGCTGCAGAGTGGTCTTGATCGATAAAAATACTTTTGTGGCAAACAGCCTAAATGTTGATTGTTAACCACCTCCGACTGGGCAGTGTTCAGCTTCATGCCTGTTTCCTCGGCTGCCATACAGACGCTGTGGTTTCCAACAGCCCTTCACCTCCTCTTCCTGACATCCTCACCTGCCTGTGAATTAATATATACAAACGTGGTTTTGCAGAGCTTAAGAGAGTGTGGTGGCACACGACAGAACGATGTGTTACCGAGCTCAAAGGTGAGTTTGTTCACAAGCGAGGAGGAGAGTTACAAATTGTGTAGTGACTTCAGGGCTGAATCTTGCAAACGCTCGCACGAGTAACCAGTGCACGAGAGTAATCCCGCTGAAATGGGACCGGGACTCAGGACCAGGACTTAAGCTGTTGACATTGATTTGAAACAGGGAAGATTTGTGTAACTGAAGTGGCTTTCTAATTAAAAATAAATAGGAAAATTTAAAGTCCACATGCAGTGTTATGTTTGCCTTAAAAGATCTCAGAAATTGGCGCAGAGAACTTGTTTCTTAAATCTAGAGGGGTTTTTTATGTAGTACCGGTAGGACTGACGTGTTTGTGATAATTCTGAGGTTGTCGAATGAGTGTGTATTGCTTAAGATTCTTTTTTTTCCTTTGAATTGCTTGCATACTGCTGAGAGGTGCCAGGGTGACGGTCCTTTGAGGTTCGTACCCTTCTGAGGTGGGGGGGAATCGAGTCAGTTTGTTCCCAGCACGGGCCACGGGGCAGAACGCTCGCAGGTGAGCTGGCCTGCCTTGCGCCCGGGAGGGGAGGCGGTCGCGTGCCTGTGGCCGCTTCTTTCCCCCGAGGTGGCGTCGCTTGAGTCAACCGAACCTGTAACGGAGGAGCGGGGCGCTAATTTTTCATGAGGTTCCTTGGTGACGTTTTGATTTTCAGTCTCCTGTAACTTGTTTTGGAATTGTTCCTAGTGTAACTTGTGTGTACTCTCATTCTCCTTTTTTTCTTTTTGTTGCTGACAAATAAAAATATGTGAAAACTACACGGTGACGCTTTTTAAGGGACTGGTTCGGTTTCACACGCTGTGGAGCTTAGTTTGGGATTTGGCAGCCCAAGGTCACCTTCACGCATGCCTACAGAGGGGTGCTCTCAGAGAGCTGCCGCTGGGAGCTCAGAGTAATCTGAGATAAAAGTGTTTTTCTTGCCTGTTTTGTCACAGAGCTGTTTGAAATCTATGGAAACATACATTTGAGTGTTTCCGTGTCTGTCCTCCCCCCACCCCCATGATTTATCATCTCAAGCATAATTTCTTTTTCAAGTGGGTTTTAGAGCTATATATAAATGCAACTGCTTCCGTATTGTATTACTCTGAATTTTCAGGTACATTTATTCTGATCTGGTTTGTATCAGATTTCCCAGTAGATTTTAAGACGTTAAAACTTTCAAAGTCTTTCATAAGTGTCTTTTATTCCCGTCAGATGTAAGTCCTTATGAAATGCTTATTTTCACGAGAAACCCTGGTTTTCACGCTGAAGTTGCCTTCCAGTGATTCGTGTTGCACAGGACCTGATTTGGTTTTTAAAAGATAAAATCAGGTGCTAACAGGAACTTCACCATTCTTGAGTTTGCTGTTATGCCGAGGGCCTGATACCAAAATATTTACAAAGACAGCAGTTGTATGGAAAATAACGTTGTACCTGATTTGAGCGGAAAAATTGAAATGTAAGAATTTTTTTGCTAACTGTAAATGTGAAGAACTCTCTTTCTACAATGTAATGGAACTGCAGAAGCATCTGTGGGAGACCTGGCTTCTTGAAAAACCCATCGCTACAGAAATTACTCTGGGTCCATCACTTCTGCATGTATTTTTGTCTATGTTATTCCTTTCTCCATCGAGATAAGCTCCCTGGTTTCCATAGGTTGGTAGCAGGGGGGTGGGAGTGGGGGGAAGGGAGGAGGCGTGGGTAGGAATGTGTGCCCTGAAGTATTTGGGGATAAAACTTAAATTTTCTTTTTGTAGCCTGAGGAAATCGGGTTGGCCCTGTGGCTCCTGTTTTACTCTCTCTTTTTAACCAGCATCCATTGCTCTTTCTCAGAACGTTGAGGTAAGAAAAGTTCGGGCCTCTCGCCTGGGAACGGCTGGTTCTGAATGACTGCCTAAAGGGAAAGTGTGCGGCAGGGACCCTCTTCTCACTTGTGCAGAGGAATCCAGAAACGGTTGTGCTTTAAGAGCATTAAGTTGAAATAATTATAAATAAAACTACTTTGGCGACTGACGACCTGGCCATTTGAAAATAGGACGTTGTATTTTGAAAACGAGTTTCATTTGTGTTTCTCCAAATTCTTGGGTTTAAGGGAACACACAGGTTTATAAGCAAAAAAGGTCTTGGCGTTAGCAAACCCCAAGACTTTGGTACCATCCGTGCGCCATGTGTGCTTCAAACTTTGCTTAAATTTTGCCGGTCCGTTGCGGTGTCGCTAACCATTTTGCTATTGTAAGTGTGTGTAGGGGGTTTCCCTTTGGTTTTATAGCCCTTACTGTTGATCGAGACCTAATAATTTATCAATTGAATAATTTATTGGATTAATGTATCAACGGGAGTAGCGGAAGGGAGTACTCAAGCCCTCGAGTGAATCGTTGTTACTGCGGTAGGAGCACGGAGTCACGGCACTTCAGGCAGCTGGCTTGCGGAAATGCGGGATCTGGAGGGACCAGATTCAGCGAGATGCTGAAGGCAGGAGCTGAGCTTCCCATTCTGGCCCTGCTGACGCAGAGATGAAGCCCACAGTTTTGGCCACTTCCTAATATTTCTGTGGAGTGTGACGTTTCCTTTACCGCCCAGCATTACTAAGGGTTGCCTCTAATGCATCCTTGCTTCCTGGGGGGTTTTATTTCCTGATGCTGAAGCGGCAGAAGCTCCTGCAGCAGTTCAGAACCAGGATTGAGTTACTGGGGGTTTCTGAAGCTCTGGAACCCGATGAGTCTGGGTCTGTCAGCCTGGTTTGTCACCACGCGTTGTTTTCTTTGGATTTGGTTTTTTTCTGCTGTCTACATCTTCCTAAAGCCAACGTTTCCTGGATTATTCTTGACATTTGAAAAGTCTGTTATAAAATAACACCCAGGGCTTCTACCACGAAATTTCTTCAACTTTATGGAAAGTTTTATACGTGTTTGTAACTTATGCAAGAAAATTAAAACCAAATTTTGTTACCAAGCAATTCCAGAGCAGGAAGATGCCCGGAGACTCAGATTTCTCGACTCATTAACTTTCTCATTAAGTAATAAAAGAGACTCCAGTTGGTCAGAGTTATGCTAGAACTCGGATCTAAGTTTCTTTCCGATGAAGCATTTATTTTAAAACTTCAGCTGAGAAGAAATCTGTGTGTCGCGATTTCTGGCTGCTGACCACTTGCCGTGATAGGAAATCAACCGCTCGGCTCCCCTGAGTAAAGTAGCTCAGAATTGCAAAAATCTGTCAGCACGTCCTGCGTGACATCTGACAGCCGCTGTCTGCAGAGTGTGAAGCAGCCAGTTGCTGCAGCAGCAGCAGCCGTGTGATGAAGATTTATGGCTCTAGGACACAAGCTTACATGGGAGAGCAATTTGTAATAAGGGATCGGTTTGTCGTTAGGCATTCGCGTGACTTTTAGGCTTCTTGTAGGCTCGGTACTTAAATTTGTTACTGTCAGTGGAAACAGAAATCTTGCAGTAGGCAGTTTTTAGATGTAGTCAGGCATAAGAAACATGTCAGGCATGCTTAATGGGAAAAATTAAACATTTTTTTGGATCAGATCAGTTTATATTCATCGTCTAACTCTGAGGCTGGTTTTACTTTTAGCTTTTGTACAGTCTCTTCTCGTAGTAAGAGTCGAATTAAGTGAGCTTAGTAAATAACGCCTGCTGTATTTTATTGAAGAGCATCAGCTGTTCAGAAAACCTGTTACAGCAACCTGAAAACCCTTCTCCATCTAGCGACTTGGGTAATTTTATTTTTTTTTTTTTCTGTCTTTGGCCCAGGCTGTCCCTCTTTGTGTCTCCTAGCCCAAAGGCAACAGGCACGTCGCTTTGCTTCTGCTAGTGTGCAGCTAGGAGTCGTGACGCAAACTGCAAGATGATTTTCCTTCGTGATCTGCCTCTGCGGATTCTTTTCTTGACATGAATGGACGAGCAGGCGCCTATAAATACGCCCAGTTAAGGCTCTTCAGAAGAAAGCTTCAGTTCTGCCAGTTTTCAAGGTCGCGTGTCGATCTGTGTTTTGGTATTGGAGAGCTGTCAAAGGACAGCTTTGTTAAAATTGTCTTGTGGTTATGGAAACCCGTGCCAGCTCGCGCCGCTGTGAGACGCGAGTCATTAAAACGCAGCAGCCGTCCGGGCAGGGCTGAGGTCGTCGGTGGCGTGCGTGGCTCCCCCTGCCCTTCCTGTGAGCGCCTTCCTTGCCTCCTTCGCCGTGCTCTTTACTCTGCTGTTAATAAATCTCTTTGCAGCCGTGAGGCTGCTGGATGTAATCCTTGGGGCTGTGGAGGCCCAGCGCTTGAGGCAGGGTTAGTTTTGCATTCAGGTAAAGGAACCTGGGGGTTTGGGCATGCCCGTCAGTCGCGGCTGTGTGGTAGCTTCTGTGTCTCTGGATGCTGGTGGACTAAAGGTTAAGTTTTACCACCAGGGAAACTGTATGCTTTCCTTCTTTATTTTCAGGTATGGGCGCCCGCTTCAGTAAGTGGGTGTCTGTCATCGGTACGATGCGGTGTGCTTGAAAACTGCCTGCTGCGTTACGCACCGAGTGAAATGGCCAGGTCCCGTACATTATAACATACAGGTTCACCAGCTTTACAGAATATTTCACAAATAGCTG